GCTTGTACCATATATGACAAGATTGTGAAAATTACCCACTTACCTGTCTTGCTGATTATCATGAAGTAGCTGTACAGTGCTACACTATCCCTCCCAGAGGCCAGCATAAATACCATGTCAATATTGCCAAGATTAGCTTCCGTAGACATGACCTCCCCATGAAGTTTATGTTGGTGGATTGCCCTACCATGGCCGATCATATCGACCCCTTCCTCGTCAGTGTCTGGAATGTTGACATTTTGGCTACCCAACCAATCACTGTCGCTTCACAGCCCACTGCCGTCTTTGTGCTCAACCAGGTCATGACCGTTCAAATTTCCCTGCTCAGTCACATGTGCCAACTGTGGTGACTCCCATAACATATTTAATAGGAGCTGCCTTGCCTATAAGCTCGAATGTGAGGTAGCAGTCCTCTGATTTCAACTAGGCCGCATTTTACGTGAGGCCAGACAAGAAGCACGACGACGAGGTTTTTCTCTCTCAACTTATTCCAAAACAGTCCTTTGCTCTGCATCCCCAACCCCCCATCTCCTCAAGATACTCCTGGATATTCCACAGTCTCTCCCCTTGACCCTTAGCCATCCTACTTCTACTTTCCCTATCCTCCAGTCAGATCCCTTTTCCATTCTAAATCCAGATACTCCAATCTCTACCACTTCTCCGATATCTACCCTTTCTCCCCCTCACTTTATGCATTGTACCAGACAACCTTCTACTTCATCTTCACTTTCCACACCCTCTCCTACACCCTCCCTTTCCTCTGCTCCTCGAACATCTACATCCTTTACTTCTTCTCACAAGAGATCCTTCATTTTTCAGACCTCCCTACCCAATCCCCTTCAGAAACTCTTGAAGTTATCCAAAAATTGCTAGACATGACCCACGAAAATGTTCCGCTCCCTCATCCAGCCTCCAATTCCTCTATTCCTAGTCCCTCTACATTCAAAGGATTTGCCGATATCCATCCTTTTCAACCAGTTTTTCCTTAAAGCAATGTTACTATTCCTCCCCAGCACCAGATGCACCCCATTCCATCCCTTTCCTTTATTAATGCCCGATCTGCATCATTTACACCACTTCCTTAACCTTTTACCCCTGTACTATCCTATAACACTGTAACCTTTGACATTTAACATTCTTTATACTAAACGTTAACTCATTTACCCTTTTCACCACAATACTTTACCATAGTGCTATATGACCTTAGATGTCTAGCACATTTATTTGTTTCAAACTTTAACCATTAACTTTCAAGATATTACTAGAAATTTCAGGTGAGGAAGTCACAAACATCGTCTTTCCTCCTTGATTTCGAGTTATTTTTGGCAGTTAATAAATTTGTAAATGAAACTCAGATCTTGCCGGTTGTGACATCCAAAGATACGGCAGTAATTTACTATTATCGCTTGATCAATGTACAGAAATAAAAGAAGCAAATGGAAGGAATAGACGCAAAAAAAGCGCTTCGAGGCTCCAATGTCTCCAATATGGCGGATGCCTTATTGACATCACATGAAAACACTCGATAATGATAATAACAATGGTGATAATAAGTACGACAATGATAATAATAAAACAAATATTTAATTACTATTTGTTGCTGATATCGTAAAAAAAGGTTACGCCATTTCATTCTATTACGATCAACTACAGTACGTCTAATTTTAGGAAATAACTGGCAGCTCATTCCGAAGTCTAGTTGCTCTGATTCGCTCCGATTTTTTTTTTTTTTTTTTTTTTTTTTTTTTTTTTCCGACACTTGATACTTACGCTTGCATGCTCCTGGTAGTTCTAAAGTTCTATCACAATTTTCTTCGTTACTTTATACCCCAATATTTTTTCTTCAAAAGACCCTTAGTGATTCGGAGTACTAGGATATCCGGGTGAGTTGCCGGTTTTTGTTTTTCAGAGTTTAGACGCAGGGTAAATATTGTGATATACGTTAATGTTTCTCTTTCCTTAAGTGCACCACGTTGATGCTGAGTCAAACAGCGTCCCTTTTTGTTTTGTAAATATTTGCCGTTCTGTTTGAATGCTTTCTTTCAGCGTTATTTCCTTTTCCAATTTTCAGTTCTTTCTCTTTGAAAGTGAGTATGCATTTCTTTATCTTTATATTTTTGTTATTATTATTTATCATTATTTTTTTATTTATTTATTTTTGCCTTATTTGCGATTGCAGTGATTGTTTATTATCTCGTGAGCTTATTGCCTTATAACCATTTTTTACACATATTTCCATTATTTACATATATGTAACTATTATATATACCTATTTATATTTTTTCTATATACATCCATATATGTACTTATATGGTAGAAAATCTCCACAATGCAATAGCGAGATTTATCGAAAAGTTTCGAGATTCTCCTAGATTTCATCATCCAGAGCTGAAGATGAAATTCGGGTTTCGAGACTGATGTCCCAATTTTCAATAAATCTTGTTTGTGGGTTTTGGGTTTTCCTATCATAGTATCTAGATAGTGTGCTTTACCCTATTCACACACGCAACCATACACATATATGTCATAAATAATTACATTAAAGCATGACCCCCCTGGGTAACTCAAAACACAGAAGGCCATTAACAGAGAAAATGAAGAACACTCAAAATATACATATATTTATTTAAAATCACACATGCACTAGAAAATATGCATTGCCTCCAACATCAAAAACCATCTCTATATATAAAACACTATAAAATCAAACTCTAGCTGCATCCTAATTTAAGATGACTGTAATATGTAAAAATGTATCGTAAGGAGTTTTTGCCTCCTTGTACAGTACCTCCAAACGTCATTGCTGGGCACTTTAGAAAATAAATGAATTAACTATGAAACACGTCAACAACAGTGTATTATAGAAAACACTAAATGTAATCGTTAAGTATAATTCACTCTCATTTCAATATCATGAAAGCTAATGAATACATAAGTCCAAATACCACAGGAATAGCATTACAATAGTTGTACTAATGACAGACTTATGTTGATGAGACATGTGAATCTGATATTTACGATCACAACTTCCATATTTGAAACAAAAAAAAATTATGTAATCAAAATGAATAATGAACAATGAATACTATAATGGTGAATAGTATGAACAGAAGTTATGAATAATGATGCGTATGCAGTTACAACTGATACAGCTGAAATATACTTTACGTGTATTAGTAGACACCGATAGTATTATTTCAGCTCGTAGTAGATAAAGCGTAGTCTTAGGATTAGATGTAGTAGAAATAGTAGCGATAGTAGACGAAGAAACAGTACAAGAGTTTACAGTAATTGTAATATCACTTAATTACACCGAAAAAAATATCTTCGTCACAACTAAAAGTGCTTGTACTATACTAACAATGTTGTTAGTACTTTTAAGTCGCTGTCGCAACAACTGCCTTTAATAATAATGATGATTTTATGAATGACTGTAATGAATGGAATGTGAAGTAATATGTCGTAGAGTGTGAGAAACTAATTTCGTTTCCGTCAGTAACAAAAATGGGGATAAATATACTGCAATGGTGCAACAAAATAACATAGTAGTGAGATATGTTGCTCCATGGCAGAGTAAATTAATAATTTGAAAATTCCTTTCTCCTTTATATATATATATATATATATATATATATATATATATATATATATTATAATATATATATGTATATATATATATATATATATATATATATATATTTTTTCTTTTTTTTACTCAGTTGACAAGTTAGGGTTTGCTATGAGTGTAAGTAACCAAATAGCAGATACAATAATTATATATGTATATACATACATATGCACACCAATGCTAAATAGTTTAAAATCAATTTCCTCTGCATGTTTATGATGATGAACTGAAAAGTCTGGCTTGGATGAGTTACAAATCCAGAGAAAAACAAGTGTATTTACAAGAGTTTCGAATTAGATTATAGAGTAACGTCATCCATAATCCTAAGGAAATGTTTCATTAATCATCACACCAATGGAATGGCCAGTGGGCAGAAATCGTATATTGGAAATCTTACGCATGTGCCTGAAGCCACACTGAAATTATGTTCTGTGCTTTAGAAAAAAACAGCTTATATTTGGGATATATTATATATTTAATATATATATATATGTATGTATGTATATATATACATTACACACACACACACACACACACACATATATATATATATATATATATATATATATATATATATGTATGTATGTATGTATGTATATATTTATACATATATATATACATACATACATATATATATATATATATATATATATATATATATATATATACATATATATGATATATATATATATATATACCTATATATATATATATATATATATATATATATATATATATATATACATGTACATATATGCATATATATACAATATATATGTATATTATATATTACACACACACACACACACACACACATATACATATATATATATATATATATATATATATATATATATATATATTACACACTGAATTCTGCAAAACATTTTCGCACAATCTGACAAATGTAATGAATATGATGCATCATTGTCATGATTGTTTTTCCCTATATATATATATATATATATATACTCAAATGGGAAGATTATGGAAGAATGGTGATTCAGTCTACATGAATATCAGTTACCTCCTCTTATCACTCGCCATTGTGTAGTTCAACGATTTTGAATTCCGGTGCCTTAGAGCCTTGTGAACAGGTGAACATTCGGCGATAAATAAATGCCGGAAAATGATAATTGATGGGAGTAAAACAAGAAAAAATAAATGCTATAGCCATAACGGTGTTATAGTTGCATTAGGGACTGGCATTTGGAGTACATACATAGACATCCACACAATATATAGAAATACAAACATTTATACATACACACATGTATGTATATCATTGTATACATACATACATACATATATATATATATATATATATATATATATCATTGTATACATACATACATACATATATATATATATA